GTTGGGGGGTGGGGGGTTGTTCTTTCGTGGATGACTTGAATTCGCAATTTCGCGATGTTAAAAGAAATTCGCAAATTCAAGTCGTTATCAAAATGTTAAATGAAGTGCGAGGCCAACAGTATTGGAATAAATGACCCTAAGGAAATCAAATTGTGAATTCAAAACGTTCGTGAAAAAACCCCGGCGTACTTACATTATTCCACTGAACTTTTCTCAACAGCAACTCTCAAGATTCTGAATTAAGGAGTACATGTTCCATCAAAGCAGAAAACAGTTACTTATTTATATAGCGCATAAAGATCAACAAACTGGGGCCGTGTACTATGTCTGATAGCAATTCAAGTGCAATTTTTAGCTATCTATAGTATTCCAGCCCAGATGGAAGCAACAGAACTGATACTTTATGTCAAAAGAATGCCCTTGATTGAAAAAACATGATGCTCATAATAACTCTCTAGTTTCACGTTTGAGAGCTTGGCTATTTCAATCAATTTCACCTAAATTTTTCCTTCTCTGGCCCGCGAGCAGTCAGGCCTAGATAATCTACGTGAGTGGTTGGCGGGTGCTCTGGTGTGGTCTGCTCCTTCTTTCCTATCAAATAATCGTCCCTTATCTCCCCTCCTCTTTTGTGTTTGTTACTTTCTCGTAACATCTCTAATCTTATACGAACGTATTGTGTTACAAATGCCGTAAAACACTTACCAAAACAATAAATCATAGGATAATCTATACTGCACTCTGGACTGCTTGCGACTACTGCGAGATATTCGGAATCTCTTAATCCAGCCCGAGACGCGCTTGCCCATGCCTGATCTAGAATGTATTTTAAAATCTTGCTGTGGAGTGGCTCTTGCTTGGGAGCCCTGTGTACAGTATCAACATGATGGTATGTCACAACCTAATTTAAATTACACCATTGTTTGCCAAATTGAATCAATGTACAAGATGTGACAATTTCAAAACTAAAACGCACTTTTGAATTTCTTTATTTCTGTTTCTTCCTTTAACCGATCATCAGCCCTTGGAATTATGTAAAAGAACAAAATCAAACAATAAAAAAAAAAAAGATGTAAAAATCAAGTATGATCAGACTGTTCCATGATAACACTACCCCGGTACCTTCAAACAATAATTGTTTGGCATTGGCTCGTGGAAATATTTGTCACCTAGATCTAGTGTCAATAAGCTATAATGTTTGAAGAAGGGGGAAAACTGTGTTTGTGTGTTGGGGGGGTGATTAATTTTGAGTTTTGAATTCAGAGCTGAAATCTGTGTTCATTTCCTAAGGTCTTTCAGCCAGTTGTATAAAACTTTGTGGAATTCATCTGGCTTCTCTAAGTAGCAGGCGTGGTCTGCATCCTCGAGAACGGCGATCTTGTGGTTTGTCAGTCCGACGAGATCGTTCTGAGATGTAGGCCCTCGCGGGTCCTTGGAGCCGTACAGAATGAGAGTTGGAACCTGGAATGGTGAGTAGGGGGAGGAGGGAAAATAATTATCATGGAGATAAAATGTTAGACGTACATAAAGGGTTGATATTATAAAACTTTGTTTCTGTTTGCTTGAGAAAAAAGAAGCAGATCGACACTATAACATTCCTTTAGTGCCAGGGAATAGCAAGTGAAACAGACAGAAACAACAGGGAGAGAAAGCCATGATGTTTTTCATTTGCACGAGCTAAAGAAATCAACATAATGGTTACACTTCACCAGGAAAGAATGAGTACAATACCAATTTAATAGAAAAAGATAGAATGAGCTGGTCACTTCAAATCGCCCCTTCAAATCGCCAAACCAACAACTTCATTAACACTAATATTTCATAATGCTATGAATTTGACCTTGTAGATTTTAATGTGCTACTGGAAATACATGTCCATTTAGGTACATGTATACACAATAGGTAATTTCGGTGGTCAAGTAGTACCACATCTAATCGTCCGCACTTACATCACTTAACTGTGTCGCAAGTGCCGCTGGAAAAACTATCACGAAAACAAAACAAGCCCATCATTATACAATATGTAGTCTAATTTTTAGACCGCGTCTCACCTGGCTGTCCTTGAACTTGGGGGCGTACAGACCGGTGTCCGCTGGCGCTATGGGCACAAACCCAACAGCCCTCTCGGTACTTGTGGCCGGGTTGTTGAACAGGTAGGGCTGGGTGTACCTCCCGCCGGACGAGGGCGTGATGAACACGGCATTCTTTAACGTCAGGGAGTCGACGAGAGCCGACACAAAGTCGCCGAAAAGATTTTTGTCAATAGCGCTTGGACTTTTGCCTTTGCCTGTGCAAAAATGGAAGAAAACATTATGCTTTAAAATGCTGACCCATCGAAATAATATAACGATGTATTTAGGTTCATATGTACATTGTCCCTTCATAATGACACTTATTTTCTGGACTTTGGGGGTACCAGTTAACAAAAACAAGACAAGACTGTTTAATCAGAGGGTCACGTTCCGTTTACTCACAAAAAAAAAGAAAGGTGAGTAGGCTACTCCACATTAAAAACTGGAATTAAACAGTATTATGACCATACTCTTGATCTGTTGGAGATACTATATTCTAGAGACCAAAAACATAAAAAGAAAATAAATGTGTATTGCAGATGACTAAATTAAAACCTCTTGACATAAATACAAACGGAGACATAAGTATGAGAGAATACTGAAATAACGGAGACTCTGAACCAACCAAACCGAACCTCAAAAATTCAATGTGGAAAGCAGACAACATCCAAAATTCAAAATAAAGAAAAGTAAATTTGAACTTTCCATTGGTAGTTTACTTGACCTACAACACAAGTCTGAAGCCGTCGCTCTGTGTGGGGACACATGGGGTGGCCATGACGTCACGTGGGCAAGATGCTTTTAACATCTTCTTATTTTAATGGAACTCGGCCCGTTTGTTAGGTCAGTATACATTTTTTACACGGGCTCCCATAAAATCTTCAAAAATAAAGATTCGGTTAAGAATTGTCACAAAGGGTTATGTGAGCATATTTTCAAAGTTCGGATACTTCCTTTCGCTTTTTTAGGTTTGATAGTTTTTCCTGTAAATCGAGGCTCTCAGATGTTTTCACGCTGCCATTAGCCATTTCATATTTTCATAGGCGACTATCAATCAGAATTTACGTTCTAATAGTCAGAAGCATGATCAACACCTGGAAATCAGGACAGTTTAGTATACAAACCAAGCTAAAGCTGTATAACAGCTGTGTACTATCCACACTCCTATATAGAGCTGAATGCTGGAGGATGACTGATCATGACCGTGCCAAGCTATCTTCCTTTCATACAACCAGCTTACGCCAAATCCTCAGAATCTTCTGGCCCGACAAGATTACCAACGCAGACCTGTTACGTAAATGTAGGCAAGAGGACATGACCACCATAATAAAAAGGAGAAGATGGAAAAGGATTGGACATGTTCTGAGAAGAGAACCAGACTCTATTGTGAAGACTGCCCTCCGCTGGACACATGAAGGACGTCGCAAAAGGGGCAGACCCAAAGTGACCTGGAGACGCACAGTTGAGTCTAAAATGAAGTCCTGGAATCATTCGTGGGGAACGCTGACCAAGATGGCCCAAAACAGACAGAGCTGGAGATCTTTTGTTCCTGCCCTAAACACCAGATGGCGTAATAGGTAGAAAGTAAGTAAGTAAGTAAGTAAGAATCTGGAGGAAGGCCTTGAGTTTGAGCGTGCAAGGCAAAGAAAGAATGGGCCAACGTTGGCCTCAGCGTGAAACGCACAGTCCTTTAGTGAAACTGAAGTTGATTGGAGATTACGAACACATGACTGGGGTGAATCCGGAGTTCCAGTTCCAGACGGCGCATATACCAGTAATGTTGTCTACACAGGGGTCCTACGGCATTAAATCGGCTACAAATTTTTATCTTTGGATTTCCTTTCACTATGTCATCTTGTATCTCAAATGAGGTAGTGCTTGATGAAGCCCACGTGGGATGCTCAATGTTAAAAACAATCAGGAAACAACAAATGCAGTTTTTGGGACACCTGAATAGACATAACGGTCTTGAACATCTAGCTCTCACTGGCAAAATTGAGGGCAAGCGAGGCAGGGGTAGGCCCAGAACAACATACTTAGGGAACCTAAACAAATGGGTAACGGGAAAAGATCAGGGAAACGTAGCTTTTTTTTTTTGAGCATCCGAGCAAAGAAATGAATGGAAAACCATGATCGTCGATGTCTGTCGCAGATCTGGCACTGGATGATGATGATGATCTTGTTATAAGAATGGGGAGAAGGAGGGGCGGGGCGTCGAAGTTTATTTTAGCCAAATACATGTACTCCATAAAGTACATTTCCAAATCTATTTATTGCAATCTTTAAACGTTGGTGGGGGCTCTGGTGTGGCTTGCTCCTTTATTTCCTATAAAACATCTGGTGTATAAATCTCTCCCCCTTCTTTTCTTTGTATGTTACTCTCTAGTGACACCTCGAAATTTCGGCACTTATATGACCTGTTTGTGTTGCCAGTGCCGTAAAAGTTGTGCTCAAACTAAAAATAACAGCTTTAATAAAGAAGACTTAAATTTGTCAAAAAAGCTGATTCACCTGGCAAATCTATAGCTACCGCTCTATATCCCCAGTTCGCCAGGTGGTACACGGTTCGAATCTTGACCCAGTCAGCCGATGAGCATGTACCGCTGTGAACTAACAGGACATCAAGTGTAGGGGCACCATTTGCAGGGGTGACTTCTTCAAGGTAAATCTTGACTTTCTACAAAGACGAACAAACAAAGTGACAAAGTGAAAACAGTTTTTCATACAGGTCTATCCAATTTTAACAAAATGGCCACTAGAAAGTGTCAATGTTGTTCTTGCTATGTTCAATCCAGCAGTAGCCCATGTGTTTTCGCTATAGAATCAAATCCTCACTTGTAAGTGATTATAAATGATTTAAGCCCTTTTTGAAACAGTTTGGGAAATTTAAGACCCATGTTATTTCGACGCAGCAAGGATAATATTATTTTTATTATGATTATGATCATTTCACTAATTCACACATACGCCCTTCAGAATCGAACCCAGCCATCTGAATTCTGGCAAAGTTTTTCAACCTCACAGGATCACAGTGACCAGTAAAAAATTGCATTGAACTTCTCCCGCTTATATCTAAACAAAACAAAACAACAAAAAAGGACCCCTCCTACCCCCCACCCCACCCACACATACACAAACACATACATGTAATAATACACACACTCTCGTTCCCCGACAGTGAGAGAGAGAGAGAGAGAGAGAGAGAGAGAGAGAGAGAGAGAGAGAGAAAGAGAGAGAGAGAGAGAGAGAGAGAGAGAGAGAGAGAGAGAGGGGGGGGGGG